CCTATACGCCCAACCACGTAAATAAATCACGAAGTCATTTGAAAGTAACTCCTTGTTGATTACTTTTCATGCAAGATTTAGCAGCTTTTGAAGGAACTAGATGACAAATCTACACGGTAAACATCACGCAAGGAATGCAGATGTGGCTCAAATCATTCACTCTGATAGTCTTCATGTGAAACAACTGTAAAAATATGGATAGACTTATTCTAATTGAAKTAATTTAAAGGTTAAGTATTAAACCACAACATCGTGAAAATTAGACAGTTYGCGAAGTGTCGGTGATAGTTGGCGTTATGGCAACAATCTCAACAAGATGGTTATCCCGCTCTATAAAACCATGATCGCTTCARTCTTCATCTAGCAATAACCCTGCGTGAATATTAACATTGTTTAACATATTAACATTAATCCAGAAGAGACAGAATCCCTCATCAAATTGAGAATTTAGGCTATGTAACTCAGAATCAGATAGCCWCGTTGCGTAATTCACTCAGCTACTAAGTATCAGTTTACATCTCGCCAAGGAAAATGCAAYATTTGGCACGATGCACCAACCTTTATGACCTAAACCAATGTCATAATATATGCTCTTACACAGATGAATGTTTTGGAATAMCAAAAGACCTTGAATATCAAAGAATTACTGTAAAAGCTATAGTAACTCCCGAGCAGTTAACTGTTCTACTATACGATTGTTTACAGCCGAGTTCACAATGTGATATTTCATATAGAGATCAGAGGGCGATCGGGAGACCCGAAGGCAAACTTCTGACTTGRAAAAAAAACAAAATAAAAGTGAATGTGAATATATTTGCCATCGAAAATACCTCTTAAATACTCGATATGGGATTGTTGAAATATCAAATTGACAACAATTAATCACATTTCAAATTTCAAATGCGCTTTCAATGTGTGCGTATGTTGACCATTTCCGCAAGACAAACAAAATCGGCTATGCTGTGAGTTTTGCCGTGCATATAACCATATATAGTTGATAAGAATGTTWATCATTAAATAATGTCTGATAAGTGCGTAAGCACGAAACTCAGAGTAACAGCAAATCTTGCCTCTTCGTTATTATATTTTATACTTATCTCTACACTATATGTGTATTGCCTTGCATGTGATCCATATTGAGTTGGTTCAATTTCCCSGACAAGTCCATTGTCAATTCAATATCATTTTTCAGTGGGAAGAGTTCATAGTATAGTCGCTGATTGACAATTGATTAAAAATACATAAAATCTCCTTAGCAAAACATACTTACAGGAGAATTTCTCCTACCAGTAGATGAAGTTCTGGATTGACATTCTCCCTTTCCACATGAAAGTTTCTTTAAATTTTCTTGGTTCTTGGATGAATTCTAATTAAAGTATTTCATTGATGAACTTAAAACCAAATTGATAGACAATAATAACTATTTTATAGAATGTCATTTTACTACAAACCAAATAGTTTATAGCAATTGTAACTAACATGCAAACTGTTACGGTCTGATGCTAGCATCAAGATGGGGTTTTTCATGGAWGTTAATCAAACTTCACAGCGTTCTCCAAATTGAGGGGGGTCTATGGAACATGGGCTGGACGTTTYGATTACGGAGCCAGTGTTTGTTTTCAAATTTGCTTAGATTTATCGCTTAAAATACATCRAAATGCAATGTGAAGGTTGTAAAATAGTTGGAAAAATGTAATAAGTAAAATGTACACTATAGATATCCAGTGTAATTTTTTGGAGAGAGCCAGCCCGACAAGCTAATCAACTTTTCTCTCATTTAAAATGGCCAAATCCTTGCTAAATTAAGATGACTTGTTTGGCTATAACGACTGGCAAGCCTACCTGGAGGCTGAGATGAAGAAATAATATGAATCTGAACTAAAAAATATCAGAAAGAGAATGACCTATASCCAAGAAGAGCAGTCSTATMAACAACCGCCGTTSGATTGGATATATCCTATCGAGTCAACAATGGTTCATTTTGCAAAATTGTTTAATCGACTGAGTGCTTGGATTCTTGTAATTTATTTTGATAGTATTCTCTACTTATAAACAATGATTTAGCAAGTCCGTTAAATACGTTTTCAGACGACATTATCGTTCTCTTTAATGTGAAGTGCACCRTGGATCAATGTTTGTATACATTGTTTGAAAAAAACTTGATGACTTCTCAAAAATACAGGAATAGTCCATAAAAGTACAGAGATTTATTATGACTGCATATTGATGTAATTAAGTGAGCTATCATTATTCATATTCCATGGACATCTATTCCATGTATTYGATCTTTGACTGTGTAGTTTATGTAGAAAAACTATACTATTAATTAAATCATCAATACATTTTATAATTTTATTAGAATTTAATATTATATTTTAAATTATAAAGTAAAAACCGCCTAAAAATGTATTCTGATTATGAGTATACTAAGTAGAATTGAAGGGGYGGATGCGATAACGGCTTAAATGACGATTCAGGATATTTTTGAAATTTTCGAAAAATCGAAAAAAAAATCACTTCAATCATTTGTTTCTGGTCTAAATAATCATGTTTGCTAGTTATTTCTCGTGATTTCATGAAAAAAAGCCACATTTAGTTACGTACAATACCCTTCCCCTCCCTCCAAACTTTAGCTTAGGGTTAGTTTCAGCCTTATGCACTAGGGGTTCCTATAACCTAAGACAGGGTCTNCTTAAAGTCCTTAATGCCTGACTGTTCAGAATGAACACCATAAAATGTGTTTGCTGAAAACTTGTAATGTTGCAAGACTAGTGACTTCTGTCCTGACGTCTACAGTATGCACCTTGTTTTAAATGACTTTAGACTCGATTTTGTCTCAATATGTTTATTTGAAAACTTCTCCTCGGAATATCTTACCCTAAATTAAGAAGGGAGGATATTGATTATTTCGGAACCACACAATCTGTTAAACCTGCATGTCAGGTGACAAATCATATCAATATAAAAATATTTTTTTAGGTTTCTGCCTCGCATACCAAACTCTTGTGATTATTTGGTGACAATTTGCCACCAAAGGCTTGTATATACAATCAAGGGTAAAGTATCACATGATTAACTGCTGCAACATCCGTATGGCTGACATTTTAATGACTTTAAAAGGAAAAGAAGGGTTCAAAATTCTTTCACAGTGTTTATCTGTTGTAATAATATGTGCTATCAACTGGCTTGCCTGAAATCAGACCTTGGTCTGGCTTGCCTGAAATCAGACCTTGGTCTGACAGTAGCAACGAATGATCAGAGATATAAGGTAAGCTTAATGCATAATTACCACATTGACGAAAACAATCGAAACTATCAATTCCGAATGATTTCAAAAGGATTATAAGATAAAGTTTTGGACTTACCCAACGTCATTGGACAACGGATGAGTTTCTCTATAAGGAGAGAGTAACAACAAAATAAGAAATTGAAGTTCAAGAGAGATGAATCAAAAAACCCCTTTGCGATAGCAAAAGAAAACTTACACTTCGTTAGCAGGTGCCTTTTTGTCTGCTTTTCGAGTACTAAATGAAAAGATTTTAGAAAGCATGTCCTGGAACCTCTAAATACAGTGTTTTTGTCCATAATATAACATAAAACCGGACTGTGGAAAATATGGCCGCCAAGTCATGTGACAGAAGAAAGCAACCCACAACTCAACTCGTGTATGATATGATTGGCTTATCTATGGCGGGAAAAGCAATACTTGAGTTTGGTTGGCTCGTAGCTAGACTGTCTGTTTCCATATTCTGCATCGACGTCTAGTGACTAGCGCGTGATTCGAAAGGGTGGACACGTAATCCAAGACACTTGTTTTAAAACATTTCAAACTTTCAGGGTGAAACCACAGGTAGCCCAAGCACTGGTTTCGAATTCTATTTTGTGCAAGCTTTGGTTCAATCGAAGAAAAAAATATTGTCTTTATTTTACACAGAATGTTTACATAATGCTTTCGAGATTAAGCCTGGACATTTGTGTTATTTAAAAATAACACCTGAGAAGTTCCAGCTCATTACGGTGAAATCAATAATCTTTACGCGACACTGGCTCTTTCTAATCAGTTTCTTGAGACTCTTATTCTTTTTTATAATAATAACACCACACCATATTTTATAAGAAATAGCCTACCCTAATAAGGGAATTGTGGGTCAAATGCATTTTTACTTCCGGTTTTTTTTATTTTCCTAGCTTCCAACGTAAAAAATTATAATCCACTATTTACAACTAGATTTTTTAAGCAGTTGTTGCATTTAGATTTAAAATACTTTTCTTTTCTACTTTTTACATGAAAAAATCAAAAAGTTCATGAAGACGTCGAAGCCGGCCGTGTGAGACAGAAATGGCACTTTACCTATGTGTTTTTAACGTCTGTGATTGGCTGAGCCGAGCTCTTCGCTCCACCTCTTTTATGACGAGAATAGACAAAAAATACCACTTCGTCCTGCTTCGACGTGTTCTTGTAGTTGTATAGTAACAAAGGAGTTTTAAATCAAACGGCAAATTTTAATGCCCGTTGTTAACAGAAAAATCCTACCGCACGTATCTTGGTATTGGTTGTAAGTCAAAATCTTGGAAAATAGATAGATTTTGGACAGCACGAGATCCAAAAGGACTTTGTTTTTTAGGAACGATGAAATTGCACAAATCCGTGTTCTTCCTGAGTGCTGTAATATCCTGCCTGCAACTAACTGATGGATTCTGGTTATGGGGAAACGACAATAAGAATAGAGTCGATGGAAATTGGAGTGAATGGTCGAACTATAGCTCTTGTCAGATTCAGAATGATGGACGGACTTTGCCTTATCGTTTTAGAACTAGAAGCTGTAAYAATCCTGCGCCTAAAGCTGGTGGGAAGCCATGTAAAGGCCGACCATTGCGCAAAGCCCCTTGTTCTGATTGTGATTGGCCACTKGGCATCGAAAGTAAAGTTATCAAGGACTCAGAGATGACAGCGTCAACATATCACGAGGAGTTTCCTGCAAAAAATGGCCGTTTGAATGGACCTTCTGCATGGTGTGCKAAAGAATTGTCTGGTGAAGTTTTCCTCCAAGTAGACTTCGATGATTTGACATTGGTTACAGCGATTGCAACACAGGGTTATTATCCTAATCCAAAAGAGCTCAGTTTACGTCTCGGCAGCGTTAGCAAATATCAAATAACTTTTAGTGACGAYGGTATTGAGTTCGAGGTGTATGAAAACTATCAAAAAAACAAGATATTTATTGGAAATGGCAATAATTTRAAAACTGTCTTGAATACTTTTGACCCTCAAATTGCAGCCAAACACATACGAATCCATCCCACTGCTTACATTAAGTTTGTATGCATGAAAATAGAGTTATATGGTTGTAGGTTTAAGTGTGGAGGTTATCTACCAACCAATCCAGGAGACCTGCTGGCTGTCAGCTCCAAGTCCGAAGATGTTGATTGTTTTTGGCAGGCCCATTTGCCTAACTCGTCGAAAATTAACTTTGATTTCATCAACTTTGATCTACCTTGCCGGTATGGCCAAGTAGAAATCAGAGGAAGTTACCCGTTTTATGGAGGGTCTAAATTGTTRGGGAATGTTTGCAGTGAATTCGCTTCAGGGCCACCAACAATAGAGTCCAATGGAAGCAAATTATGGATACGATTCCAGTCAAAATCTTCTGATCCTCTTGTTGGCTTCTATGGTATCTACTTCCCTAGTTGTGATACTGTATTAAATAAAACGTCAAGTGGCACATTTAGCTCTCCTGGATACCCTAAAGAGTACAATCATAATTCTAAATGTACCTGGTCAATAATTGTTCCTATGGGTCATTTTGTCAAGCTTGAAGTTTTGGACTTTGATATTGAAGAGGACCCAGACTGCAAAAATGACTATCTTTCAGCTTTTGATAACAATTCATCATTAATAGGACAATACTGCAATTCTCRCAAGCCGCCAAGATTTATATGTAGCAASTCAAATGTTTTGATACTTAATTTTAAGACAGATGATGCAATTGCACTAAAAGGATTTCAAGCAACATACAGAGCTATAACTATTGCAGAACATTGCACCTCTCCTTTGTCATCCATAATYACTCCATCACCAAGTGTTTCATTTCCTACAATACCTGCAACAGTTAATTCTTCTGTATCAAGTGTATCTATGTYTACAATATCTGTATTGTCAAGTGTACTAAAAATTGCACCAACGATAGCTGTAGTTTCTCCCTCAGTCATAACAAACAAATCTCTTGGTGGTTTATTGACAGGAAGTGGAGTTTCAAGTTCAGGATCTAATCATGGCCAACAAAGTATCAAGAAAGATGAAAATGAGGATACTGGTTTGACAACAATAATTATTATATCTGTCTTTAGCTTTATCGTCTTATGTATGATCATTGCAAGTGTTATTCCAAGTATGATCCATGGATACGAAAAGAGGAAAAGAGAGCGTGAATGGATGGCAGCAGCAGATTTACCCATGAAAAAAAACTGTGTTGAAAATGAATATGAAATGCAACCCAYAAAACCTCATGATAGTTACAAAAGTGAAGGAATTGATCCATATGAAGAAACAGCTTTTCTTGATCCAGACAATCCATCATATGATAATTTAAAAGACTCTCCGTGCTTTGATCCCATTCATAAAGAAGACTATAGAGCAAGCAATGATGGCAGTGAATACTCCAACAAAGGAGAAAATTGCTCTGATGAGTCAGTTGATGAAGATCTTGTATGTGAACTTGAATATGACACAACAGATTTGAATTTAAGCATTTCATATGAAGACATTGGATCAAGTTTTGCTACAGAGATGRCTGCCTTAATGCACAACTACAAATCTATGAGTCCTCACAACTATCCCCAAAATCAACCAGCTCAGTGTGAGACATCACAAGCATTACCACAATTAGGTGCCAGTGCARGCAACATAAATTGTGTGCCAGGTGAAGACAAAGTAAACAATACTCARTTCATGGAAACAGGAAAAGAATCAAAAGAAAAAAGAAAGAAATTAACTGAACGTGGTCAAGAAAATGATTGTAATAAAAGTAATATTAAAGATCTTTCAAATGCATTTAATTCAAATGATAAAGAACAAGATGCATYGKCAGGCTTTAAGGGAACATTGTCAGATCTAAATTCTGACAGTTGTAGCATGTACGAGGCAAAAAACCCAACAACATGTACCAATAGCACTGTGTCAGTATCAGATTCTCGGGATATACCAATTGTTCYGTCTGTTGAAGTATGGCAAGCTGCATGTGAGAAAAACACAATGGTTTAAAAAGACAATCCAGGAAATGCAAGAACAAATACAGTCATCCCAAATGAAACTTTTTAAAATCAAGATGATCAGTAAAATAATAATAGAAAGCACAGTAAATTGCTCTTGGAATGCAACTCTTCATATAGAGCAGAACCCATGGTCAGATAATATTTTTTGATTTTGAGTAATCAAATAGTAATATATTGAAAAACATATTTTTGTYTTGAGCAATAAAACAAAATCTAAGTAAAATATTTTCATATTTCAAATCAAAGACCAAATAAATGAAGCATAAGGAAGATCAGGATTATTTACAAAATATAGGGGTTTGAAATTGGCACCTTTGTATTACTGAGTGCCAGTAAAGTCAAGTTTCATTTTTTAG